CCCCCCCCCCCCCCCTTTTACTGTTGCATTTTTTACTATTTTATATGGACATGACACAATGATAACATATTCGCAGCCTGCACACCAGCCAACATTGAAACGCGCGTTCCACAAGCATTTGGCATAGTTGTATAGTTATTATTACACATTTTCTAACTGGATATTGCGCAAAAACCGCTTTATAGTGAAAGTACTCAAAATTCAAACACCGGTAGTCATAAATCATTCTAACACTTAAATATTGAGGTTTCTACGGAAAATAGATGTGACAGGGACATAAATCAATCTGTGTAATATAGAACATCTGAAAAGTTAATAGAACATATGTTTACTGGTAATTACTGGTCATTATAAATACGGCCATAAATCATGTTATATCAGCCAATGAAAGCTGACTTTGCCATGCTAGTAGAAAACAACATTTCCACTCAGGAAAATTTTCCGCAGAAAGAAAAAATTGTAAAATGTGATTGGCTGACACACATTTTCCGTCGGAAAAAAAATTTGAAGTTGAAAATTTTCAACTTTTAACAATGATTTTCCGGTCGGTGGAAATTTTTCTTCCGCGGCGAAATAGGCCTCTACGACTCATGATCACAACCCTCTGTTTAATTGTTATCGTTTTCATCATGGAGCAAAATTAAGAAAAATGTCAGCACTGCCGTAACTTGATATAAAACTAACAAACAATACTGCAAAACAACGTAATCTGTAGGGAACCACTTCAAGAATGAACACCGTCAAAGTTGTAGCCGTGAAATCGATAATATTGATTAACTGATCGACAATATCATTCATGAAAGTTTCTCCCTGGAGTACTGTATCTCGTGCTCATATTTAGAATGCAAACGAAAAACTCAACAAACAGATAGGAAAACATGCAGATAATCATTTATTATTCAATATATCTCCTAATGACAAGCTGTCTGAATGTTTCTTATGCATTATTCAGCATTTATCATTTTGCATAAACCTTTCATCAATCGAGAGTTGAGAAAATGAAAGTGTTGCAGCTTCGATTACATTTCAAAAGCGAAAAAGATATTCATTCATATAAAGCATTATTAGTCTTCATGTACATAATTTTTACTATGACTCAAAATTGAAAATATTCTCCCTAATCTAAAATCTTTCGCGTTTGTTGTCCAGCTGAATTATTAATTATTTTCAGTGAATTATTTGCTAATGGAATATAATGACCCCCTGCGTGGAATAAAATTAAGCAGAAAAACGAAAACTGTCGGCAGATGTTGAGGGGAAATGAGAAATAACATCATAGCTTTATATATGCCGCTAGAAGCTTCGGTAGATTCGTTGGGATTGAAGAATTTGCATAAAACACTATAGACCATGTGTACTTATCATACAAGTGGATGCTTGAGACTTGAGATGTTTGGCACGGACATACATGTATTTTCAATTTTCAATTTGTACTGTATGTTTTATTTCATTTCACACTCCCCTATGTCAATGTTTTAATCAGATTATAACATTTGACTTCCTGGGTTAAACATCAGAACACAAAGATATTTCATTTCTATTCTCAGTGAAGTAAAATCTAATTTTTCGCTTTTCAATAATTTCAGTTTACATTATGATGAAACACGATCACGAGTTCTGTTGCCGACACAGTGCATATGGCTACTATTATATTTTAAATTTTCATTTTCAATATGCAAAATACATGAAATCCCAATATTCCCAGCTCAAGAAGTATTAAATATCTATCCGGTCCTATCCCTTTTATATGTCTAAATTCATGACATCCATTTCCAAACACATTTCTAGAAAAGCATATATGCGAAATTTTCACAAATTCCAACCAGACTCTTTGTTCAAAACTAGTAATATATGTATGTGGGCATTGTTGCCACTGGATCGGAATTCATTGTTATAAAATATTTTCTCTCTTTGCCATTTTTTTAAGCCACGAGGTTCTTCAGTTTCCTGCTTATTCTAAGCACTGGGACACGCATTTCGTTATACATATATAACAGTTAGAATCTTCAATTTTTGTACGCATTTAATACCTTGCGCATTTTCATAATTATTACAAAGAATTTTATTGTTAAAGTGTTTAATGTCAATAATGACGCCGATTATGATGAGAAAAAATTCATGAAATGTTTTCATATACAACGTTATACATCACAGCACTGTTTCCAGAATCAATTAGAACAATGTTTAATGCGGGCAAATCCTCTTCATCCTATCAATCGCGCTGTTTGCCTGCGAATATCGCACTGTTAGCTGTTATTTTATTTAATTGCTACAATTTACTTCACTTTGCTACATTTCATGTAAGACATGGTTCACGGATCAAATTGACAAAAGATGAATTATAAAGCAATATATGATTATTAAACAAAATCATATACAGTAACCGTCTACAGCAAGAGTATTCCTAATATTTATTGCCACCCCAACAAATAGGATTTTCAACACAGACGTTATTGTACAGCTTAGGATATCAATGAGATGAACGTCTCATAGTCCAAAAAGATCATCACACAACCGGCATAAGAAACTCGATGATGTCATGCATAACAAAGCTTTTGCTTCAGATTCTCAGTATTCCTTTTACTCATTTCGACGCAATTAATAAAATATATAGTATAGATTATAATTTTGGTTGAAGCCGCCATGCGGAGGTCCGCTGATTTAGTTGAGATGGTCATATTTTAAAATAATTGTAACAAATCTACTTAGAATATGACAAGCTTCAACATGTTTATCGCTTAGACACTATTTAACAACGTAGATATATTCAATATGCTATCCCCGACACTCATACAACACTAAACAAAATTTCGTATTACAGATCTAGCTGAGAAGCCAGAGGTCTAGCTAGCAGTCATTGCATGGTTTGGTTCGGTTATTTAAAAATGACTTACCTTAGTCTTAGGCCTTAGATAACAAGCCATAACGTGTTCCTGATACACTTTTACTGAGCATACTTTAAACTATCCTGATTTAAATTAAACAACAAACAAAATTTTCAACATTGTATAGATTTTTTTCACATACCGTTTAATGTGCAGTCGGGGTGGCTTCTTTGGTGGCACTTTTTTCATCGGTTGGCAAACATTGCCTTTTAAGTTCGAGCACATCATATTTTTTTTCCTCTCCTGACCTTGGACTACCAAAATCTTATGACATGTTCGTGGGCGAAAGTACACTATTGTTTAATATAATCACATTCAAACTCGTCTAAGTGCTGGTCAAAGATCTTTGAAGAACGAAGACTGTTGCCTAGTTTTAAAATACAGCCGATCTCAGCAGCTTATACGAGTATATGTCGGTGATAACATTACTTGAGTACGCCCACAATGGTGGTCATTAATAATGCAAAACAAAGCTGAATGCATTGTACGCTATCAGTGAGATTGTCTGACATCCGATGGTCGTACACAAAGATTTCTGTTCAGCCTATGTTGTCTTGTCAATGTTCGTCCTATTTTCCTGGTAGAGGATGCGTGCCCACAACACAACCTGATTGTGTTTCAGTTGACAAAGAAATAAAAAATGTTACACAAAGAGTGTTTAGAAACAAAAACAAAGAATAAATGCTCATGAAGTTGTTAAATTTGACAGCATGTTGCCCCCCTATCAGTTGAACTGTAGCCACAGGGGTGAATGCAATAACACTAAATTGTCTGAAGAATAGAATTTGTAGGACCAAAAATGGTATGAATCATTGCGATGGTATTACTTTGCTGTTTACAGTCATTTAAGTGCCATAGAGTTATTGTTTTAGTTTTAGGTAGAAAATTTAGGTAGAAGGAAACGGGAAACCGCGCTCCGTTTATTTTTTTGTAATTTGAGCTGATGCGATTTAAAAGACAACTTAACAATGTAAAATGCATGGACAATGTGATTGAATGTGATGACAGTTTCATTCATTCATTGGCGTCATAAGCCAGGCGAGACCTAGCCTGCCCGCCTTTAATTTTTTGGGTAAGTACGAATTTAGCGTCTATATCTTGTAGGACTTGTAGGCGAGCGGATACCGGGCAAAGAAAAGATAGCTCGTCTGTGTAGAAATACGACAAATAGACGGAGCATTCATCAGCAAATTCAGGCAAAGAGCCTTCGCTCTATATTGGTCCATGCCTGTATTAGCTGTGCATTTTGTTTTATGCAGGTGGTACATTATGAGCGAGGCGATTAAAAACTAGGACGGGGGTTGGAGAGATCAGAGTATGCCTCAGAAGGTGAACTTTGGGTATGGGAAACATCATTTTACGCGGTCACGCGGATCCCAATATCTGACACCCACATGTTTTATCGCTACCTACAATATCGGTTTGCGTGCGTAGATGGCGTTATTGACGCAGAGTAACTTTGCGAGAAACATTGCCAGTATAATAAATAGATCCCGCTATTCTATTATAGCTCGTGAAATGTCGAGTCTGCAAAGCTGAAACGACATACTGACAAAAATTGTCCAGCCATGAAAAGGAGCTGGTAAAACTACAAAAAGCAAGTCACACTGAAGAACACATGTAATAGAAAACATACTCTGAACAATAATTTCTCACACAAGATAAGCTTCAGAATTTTTATTTTGTTTTATATTTTCTTAAGCCTGGTCTACACTATCAAAGTGTCTGTGATCACAGTAGGAATTTTGCATAGTTAAATTCTAAGTTTTGAAAGATTTGTAAGAAATGTTTGAGCAGCAAACAGTTAATGTTAAACACAGAGTCTGTTTCCTCAAACATTTCATATAAATTCTTCAAAATGTAGGATTTATCCAAGTAAAATTCCTACTGTGGATCAGAGAATCTTTGATAGTGTAAAATAGGCGTTGTGGCCATTGAAAAGTCTCTTTCAAGATGTAACTAAGAATAAAAAACTGAAAGAAATTCTCTGAGTTTGATCTTACTTTGTTTAATACAGGCATATTAATTCTACACACTTGAAATTACACTTATTATAAATTTAAAATCCTGGTGTCCGTCCACCTTTCTTCTTCTTCATATCGATGCGATTTTGAATGTTCTTTTGTCTTCGATCTTGCTTGTCTTTCATTTGTTGCTTTTGATTCTCCATTCTTTCCTTCCATTCTTTCTGATGTTTCTTTTTCTGCTTCTCTTTGCGTTTAATCGCCTTCCTCAACAATGCCGGATCATCCTTTTGCTTTACTCCTTCCGACTTTCCAAGAGCTTTCGACCATTTTGCTGTCTCGATAATCTCTTTTGATTTTTCACTATTATCTCCTTTCATTTCTTCCATTTTCTTTTTCCTGCTTTCAGCTTTTTCCAACAACTTTTTATAGTTCTTCTTTGCACCCCCCTTCCCTTTTCCTTGTGATTTAGTCACATCAGAAGTGAAGTCAAACTTACTAAAGACAACTCGTCCTTCACTATTAACAATGGTTTTCTTGTTGTTTACAGCAGTTTTAGAGTTTATCTGGCTTGAGTTTACAGTCTTTTTCTTGTTTGTCTTATTTTCTCTCTGCTTAGCGGAGTTTTTAGCTTTCTTTACTGGCCTATCGCTTTCATTGTTGAAATTTGAAGGAGCTTTACGCTTCCTTTTCAATAACTCGATACGTTCATGAAGTTTTGTCCTGAGGTCGCCAATACTTGAACAAGTTACGTCTTCAACACTAACAACACGTCCATATTTCGCTGTTTTCCCATCCTCATCTGACAGTTCTACTTGTATTTCAGGCACTGTTTTATGCTGACTTGGGTCAAGTCTACTCAATTTGGCTTTCTTCGTCGCCTCTTTAACAGCTTGTTTCGGCGCCTTATGCTTCTTATTTTTATAAAATTTATTGGTTTTCTCTTCCTCATTCTCGGCAAAATAATACCTTGCTGGAATAAGCTCGAGTAAAGAATTAAAACAAGCAGAATGGCTCGATAATCTTTCACGTAACTCATTTAAACCGTCTTCTTCGTCCGCCATGATGTTTCAAGCGAGCACATGTGTTGCAATATGTGACTTACTAGGGGTGGGTGAAATGTGAAACATTACAAATTATTTTTTTCACAACTAATTTTCTCAGAAAGATTATATAAATTAAATAATAAGTTTACAAATTTGCCAAGATACACATAAAGTAGCATATTGCAAAAATATTTGCAAAATATTAGCAATTTTTCAAGTTTATTTTTTTGTCATCGTCACCCCTCTCCCGCGAGTTCCTGCTCTTTATGTGGAAACGCGAGGTCGCATGGGACGCATGTTGTGCTGCTGGATAAATCATGGATGCTGGTTTCTTTCGGGTAAGATTTAAAATTTCTCTATTTTTATGCACTCGTTCAGCCATATTAAAGTAAATCTTACTCCTTTATTCGCTACTGTAGGGGACAAGCGCGGAACAAGACAACAGATTTCTCAATAAACAGAAAAAATTGCTCAAACAAATGAGATTTGACGATGCGCTTAATGAGAAGGTATTTTGCAAGCATAATTTTTTTAGATGAAAGTAGTTTGTATGTTGCTTAAATGTATTGTGGATACTTCTTTTAGGGCAGTTTTTACTGACTAGAAACGTATTTATTTGCTGTTTGCCTAAAATAAAGTAATACTGGCTGTTAAATATGTGTGTTTATAAATACAATGCATAGTGCTAAAAATATGAGGGGGGAGCTAGGGTACACGCTGGTGTGGAAAGTTTGTATCGCGCGGCGGAGATATCGACCGCGCAATTTTGATGCTTTATATATATTTAGTATTAAATTCTCTAAATCTCTGGTGTGCAATTTCCAAACTCTCCAGTCAAAGCTACACATAGATACGGTAGATTGGGTCATTCTAGAAAACATCCATTACCCCACGGAGGAAATTGGAAGTTAACCCCCATCCCCCCCCCCCCC